AGCAGGATGAACGCATGTATATGTGCATGAAAATTTACAACTGCCTGAGTTCAAAGTGTAGTGCTAGCATTTAGGGAAGATCCATCTCTATTGACCTCCTTGAGGAGCCACACTGGACACGACTTGCTCTACCTTCCAGCTGTGGTCCAGACTAGGCCTGAAGTTCAACCATGTGTAGAACACCTCTCCCATCGCTGCATTTGTCTGCAATATACTAACCCAGCATCACTACTTTACTGGGATAGGACTTAAAATTTGAGATGGGAAAGAGCGATCAGCCCAGGATTTACCAGGTGTCTCTCTCTGGATGAGCCAAAGGGAAGTATGGTCTTCACAGGAATGACAGCCACACAGCTGCTCCTGAGCTGGGCTCTCCACCAAAGCAAGACTTCCCACTCAGCAGCAACATAACAGAACCCAAGAAGAGGTGGTACCTGTGTCTCTGACAGCCATGTCCCTCGTGCTCCAGGAGACAAGTGTTTGGAATGGAAGTGCTGGAGGAGGAGGATGTCCTCATGGCAACTGCCGAGATACCCACTAAGGGGGAGGAGAAATTGAGCAGCACTGAGGCAACGCGATAGGGAAGGGAACCTGGGTTGTGAGTCACACTGATGACCAATGGGTTCCTCTGACAAGAGAGCTCATGTGTTCCTAAGGGAGAAGAATTAACAAGAGAGAAGACATTAGCCCAATGCTAGCACTGTTTAGCTTGCTTTGATTTAGTCCACAGTTCGGATTCTACCTGCGTGGTCTCCCATCTCCTCAAAGCAACTTGCACAGGATTCCTCCAATGGAGCATTGCAGTGAAAAAGGCAGACAAGGCACTCTCACAGCCTGGGAGCTCTGTGAAAATCCTTCTGCTTTAAGCTAACTAAAAATTATACTTGGGTTAAAAAACCAGGCAACTGAGTCAATGCTGAGAGAAATGGGACAGTAGATCGAAAGAGCAAAAGGAGACCAAGGCTTGAACAGAGTCCTTTTCCTGGTCTGTCGCAGAGAACAGCCTGTCTAAGCCCTCTACAAGAATGAGCTGGAGGGAGATGTTGCCCGGAAAGGTGCTGAGCGCTCCCAGGAAGTGACAGGTGCTCTCAGCTCCCTCTGAGCTCACAGACAAATGGCCCATGACAATTTGGTACATTCATTAGAAGCTGACTGACAGAGCCTTGTTTTATCCCTTTCCTCTCACTTGTTCCTTAGACCCTTCCTTTCTCCCCAGTCCCCTTCAAACAAGGAAAAAAAAACCCAAAAAAGAAAAGAAGAGAGAAAGAGAAGGTCCTGGAGGAGGAAAGTGGGGAGAGACCTCACACCACTGCTTGCATTTGCATCTCAGTTCTTAGTGCACTCACCCAGAGAGTGATTGTGCCCACTCACATCACTCAGGTGGACAGTCACAGTCAGTTTGTGTTGGTCACCTGGGATGATGCCATCGGAGGCCAGGAAAACAAAGACTGAGGTAGCCACTCCGGGTCTGTCAAAGCACACCTGGGCAATAGGTACAATAGGAGAAGGGAAAGGCAGGGTAGGGATTGTGGTGAAGAAAAAATAGTTATGTTGGCAATTGCTTTGCAACCTACTTGAACAGACAAATAAACAGTCATACAGACTTCCTGCTTTTCCAACTTGGAAGCTTCAAACAGCTTTCCCAGTGCCTGTCAATAGTAACTTTGCCTTGCAGTAACTTTGCTGAGCCTGCCTAGGTTCCTCAGACAGACTTGTCAATTTTTCTCAATCCTAACCTTCAACAACACTCATCCTAGCACCTGACAATCCAGTCTCAGGCTTCTCTCCAAGCTGGCTTTATACTGTACAACTCATTCCACTGTTTGAAACCTAGAGGTGACAGGCTGGTAGGATTATAAATTGTACCATTGAACTGCTTCCATTAAAAAACAAACAAAACAAAAATAACCCACAAGCCCAAGAGTGGCTGTGAATCTGTGGCAGAAAGAAATGTCTAGCAGAAAAACCAGCACTTCCCCTGACTTGTCTAGGAGGCTGCAGTGCACAGCAGCAAAACTCAGAGCATCAATCACGGTAGCTGCCTTTGGAAAGCAAGAGGATATAAACCCCTTGATGTTCAGATGCTCTTTGATCCAAATCCACCCCATGGAATGCTCTTGCTAAAACCAGGCTGGAGACAAGTGGCAACAGATTCAAGTTAAAACAATATTTCACAGCAGGACAAATCCATTTAGCAGAACAGAGGCAAACTCACCAGGCTGTGCACTTAAGAGTCCTAAAGCACAGTGTTGGGGCTGGGGAGAAGAAACTTGACCTGCACTGTAGCCTCATGGCTCTTTTCACATATAATAATGTGTGTGACCATGGTGCCTTGAGTCCCTAAGCTGGACTGGGGTTCTGCTATGTTAGGGCCTGCATATAAACAGACTAAGAAACAGTCCTTGTTCTGAAGAGCACACAATCAATCCATGAAGATCAGGCACCTAAAGGACAAGGTGCAGGGAATCCAAAAACAGAGAAGAGCCTGCAGAGTCAGGAAGGAATCCAAGTCCTTGTGAGGCCTCCAGGAACCTGCAGCTCTTCTGTGACTGCCCCAGCAAAGGAGGGTGGACACTGAAGTCCTGAAACTGTAGGTCCAGCCCTACTCTCCTCTGGCCTAGTTAGCTTTAGTATAGGTCACTCACTGTGGGAACCACAGCAGAGTTGCACCTTGCATTAAACAGAAGGCATGAGCCCATGGAACGGGTTCCCCTAATCCTGCCTCTGCTCCTGCTAACCAGCTGAACCCCCTTGTTCTGCCATACTGAGGACCCCATAGAGGGATGGCATGTGTTATAACTTGCCCCACAATAAGCAAGCATCCAGAAGGCCCCAGTACAGTTCATCATGTTAGACAGGAATACAGTTATCACGGGGTGAGGCTAACTTTTCATAGCCACTCACTAGGGTCCATACAGAGCTCTTTTGAGCTGGTGCAGACAAAAGATCTTCTTACAAAACCAAACATGCAGCTTTTACTGAGGTTGGACAATTTCACATTTTAATTTCCTGTTTAACTTTTCTTCTTCCATTATTATTTCTTTTTTTTTGCTGCATTTCTGCTTCCTGCCTGAGCTCTGAAGCTACCCATAAGGGGAACAAGTACTTGCAGTCTCATCCAAAGCAAGCAGAACACTACCAAGAAATGCACAAAGATGTCTACTCCAGAGAGTTCCAGTCCTACAAAGCATGGACAGTTTAGATAAGCACAGCCATGTTGGGTGGTCAGTATGACCTCCCTTCGAAGAGCCAAATCCTCAGACAGTGTGAACAGGGCAGTTACACAGACATCAGGGCAATCCTTTATTTAAACCAAATGAGCTGGGATGAAGCGCTTTTGTTTCCTTTCCCTTGATTGCACTCCCATGTAGGGACAAAGTAAAACCTGGCTCCGAGTTCCAACGACAGGATCTGGCTTACACTAAATATTCCCTGTTTATGCTCCCTTTTCCATACTACATGTTGGATCACGGTTGGCCACGTTTTAAGTCTTTTTCTCTTGTTAACTTCCTGTGTTACATTCTAGCATGATTCCTAGT